GACTTAGACACAAATCCTGACCTCATCGGGACTGACCTCATTCACATAGTATCAGATAGCGAAGCAGAATGCTAGAATGCTAATGACTAGTCCAATCAATGTTTGAACGCAGACCAAATATACATCGTGTCCATCACAAAGTGTGAAGGAGCCTGGCATTGTACGCAGGAAGAAAGCGCCAGGTTCAGACATACACAGACGAAGAGGAGAAAATAATCCCTCGTTGCCATGTCTGAAGCCAAAAGTCGAGTCTGGATCCAATGTCACCAAGCTCTCTCTCTCTTCTCTCATAGTCTGCTGATCCAGTGAAGTCCGGTGATGAGAGGGTGAGAGGGAAATGGTGGACTGAGAAGAGGAAGAAGAAGAACTCTCTCTCTCTCTCTCTCTCTATTACGAGCCAGGTACTAACGTGTGAAGTTGGCGCTGTGCTGCAGGTACCTCGAAGACGAAGCTGGAGCAACGGCGCTGCAGGTAGGTACCCAAGACCTCCACCCAATCTCTCTCTCTCTAGTGCTATACTAGCTATGGCGCCCAGCGCTGGAGACTATAGGTACCCTGTGAAACCGCGTGCTGATTGAGCGAGGGGTCGGAGCTCAAATTTTTGAGCTCCGCTCAATCCCGCGCTCAAAAGCGCTTGCGCGGGGTTTGAGCGGGCGCGGGAGTATTTTTTTTCCTGGAAAAAAAATAAGCAAAGAAAAAAACAAAAAATATAGGGTTGTAGATCTTTTTGAGATCTACAACCTTGTATTTTTAGTTTTATTTTTTGAAGTTTTTCTGTAGTTTTAAAAACTCAAAAACATAAACGAAAAAAAAAAAAGAAAAAAAAACATAAAAAGGGTGGGTTTTTCTTTTTTTTCACAGAGATTGTTTTGCAGGCAAGAAATTAACAAAAAAAATTATAAAAAAATACAGTCTTGTAGATATTTTGGAGATCTACGACCCCATATTTTTGTTTGTATTTTTTCAAAGTTCGTATATGTTAAAAAAACGAAAAACATAAAAACGAGAAAAAAAGACACTCACAGATCCCGCCCAGCCCGGGCCTGCCCACACACACACACACACACACACACACGGGCACACACACATACACGCACACACACACACACATAGACACACACACACACACACACACCCACACACACACATAGAGAGAGAGAGAGAGTCACCACCTCCCCCACCACCCCCAACCCCCCACCCCCCCCAAAATCACCCCCAACCACCGAACTTTTTTTTTATGCCCAACACCCCCCACGACATCCCCTGCCTATGCGCAACCCCATGGCGCTCGTGCGCTGATGTTTTGACGCTCGTGCGTGCCTTAAAACGCTTTGAGCGCGTTTGAGCGCGGCGCGGGGGTCTTTAAGCGTGCGCTTAAGCAAGCGCTAAGAATAGCCTGTTCTCGAAACCCTGGTTCGGTGCCTGAGTTTGAGGGTCGGTCGTTCTGATGAACGACCGAAAATGGCCCTTCGTTTCAGGCTAAAAAGGCTATTGCCATTTTTAGTCTGAAACGACACAGGGACTGTAGGCCGCTGTTTTCAGGCTTTCGGGTTGAACAGTCACGGGGCCTGTAGGCCCTGGTTTTCAGGCTTTAAACCTGAATTTCAGGCTTTCAGCCTGAGGGAGGCAGGGCCTGGAAAATGGCCCTCATGTGCAGGCGCAGCATGTAACACCCCCCCTCCTTATGAAGTCAAGTCGGGGCGAGGGCGAAGCCGACGATCTGAAGGTGGAACCTGGACGCGGGCACGGCGTGGAGCCGAAGAAACCAGCTTGCCTTGCATCTTGCATTCGTAGCGTGCGAGAACGTCTGGAGCTGTTGCTTGAAGTTCCGCACGAGTCAACCAACGGTCAGCTCGGTGTGTGCAGTATGCAAAATGCACTAAATACTCGGTTGGCCTGTTGTCGTAGCGTCGCTGGGAGATGATGTCGCCGACCTCCTGAAAACCATCCATGGAGGGTGGGTCTTGCGAACGTCTCCTGGGAAAATCGTCATGCTCCGCAGGCGTGTAAAGAGCCAATTTGGAGCAATGAAAGACTGGGTAGACTAACAAGTGGGCGGGCACCTGAATCGTGAAGGAAGGTCCCTCGGGTGCGTCTCCAACGGATGCTAGGATCGGCCAAGGCCCCATCCATTTTGGGAGGAGCTCTCGAGAGATGTTTTGTTCAATGTTGAATTCCGCTGTGGAAACCCAAACAAGGTCGCGGGCGTGGAATGGGCAAGGAAGACGCTGACGATTGGCCTGCTGGCTCATGCGCTGCTGCGTCTTAGCCAACTGGTCGCGTGCCTTGACAAGAAGCTCTTGCATCCGACGCAAGAAAAGAAGATGGTCGTCGCTCTCGGCCGTTCGTGGAGTGATAATGTCCAATGGTGAAGTGACCGGCGAGCCGTGCTCGAACTCGAAAGTAGATATCCCGATAATCGGGTGGATGGATGAGTTGTAGGCCAACTCGACATCTGGTAGCTGCTCAACCCAGTCCTTTTGGTTAGGACGGATGAGAGTGCAAAGGAGAACCTGTGCGGTCTGGTGCGCCCTCTCTCGGTTTGGCCATTAGTCTGAGGGTGGCGAGTTGAATTGGGCTTGAGAGATGATTCTCATCGCTTGATGCACGCCAACCAAAAATTGGACATGAACTAAGTCTCACGGTCGCAGACGATCTCCTTGGGATAACCCTTGGTTTGAATCCAACCAGCGTAAAGAACCTCGGCCGATTCCGATGCCTTGGCATGATAGCGACAAGGCAAAAACATGGCGAACTTGGTGAGTCGGTCGACCACCGTGAGAATCCCATCCATTCCGGTCTTGTGCTTGGGGAACGGGCTGGTAATGTCCATGGCAATCGCTTCCCTTCGCCTCAGCGGCACCGGTAATGGTTGTAACTCGCCGCACGGACGATGGTTGCGGATTTTGCAGCGCCGGCAAACCTCGCATGACTCGCAATAGCGAGTGACGTCGCCAAGAAGGCCGGGCCACCAAAATCGCTCGCGAAGTCGGCCAATCGTGCGATTGACTCCAAAGTGTCCGATGGCGGGAGCATCGTGGAACTTGCCAAGAAGCCGTGTAGACAAGTGAGGATCACTCGGTACGCAAAGGTCCTTCCCCCGTGTGTGGACAAGCAAGTACCCCTCTTAGATCTGGTAGTGAGAAGGCGCCGGATTAGGAGAGGAGCAATTCGCGTACTTGTCGCGAAACTCGGGGTTGGCTTGGTAGCCACGGATGAAGCTGTTCCGCAGGTCATCGTCGATCTCGAAGGTTGAGTAGACCGCGGTACAATGATCCGGACGCCGTGAAAGAACATCCGCAAAACGGTTCGACTTCCCGGGAATGTGATCGGGAAAAAAGTCGAACCGGTCGATGAAAGTCATCCATCGAGCGATGGTGCTGTTGACGGTGTCTTGGGTCTTATAGAAGACCAGCGGATTGTTGTTCGTTACCCATCAAAATTGGCTTCGACCAAGGAGGAAGAGCCGCTATCGCTTGAGCGTGTGGACGAAGGCGAGGAGCTCATTCTTGCGTGCATCGTCAATAGGCACTTTCTTGCTGAAATACTCGACCGGGTGCCAGTCCACACCATCATCTTGCTCGAGGACGGCACCAATGCCATAGCCGGACGCTTCTGTAGTGACGCGCGTAGGCAAAAACGGGTCGTATATGCGCAAGACCTCCGCAGATAATAGCGCGGATTTGAGAGCCAAAAGTGATTCCCTCGCCTTCTCTCCGAAGTCAAACGGTCGATCCTCGCATTGAAGCTTGGTCACGTGGGCCACGATCTTCGAGTAGCCTTTGATAAAACGCTGGTAGTAGCCAGCAAGGCCAAGGAACGAACGGACATCTGTGACGTTCCGAGGCTCCGACCACTCTTGGATGGCTTGAATCTTATCCGATAGCGGACTGCAACAGAAAAATTCCCACGAGAAATGAAAGTTGAAAAAACATTCGATGAAAAAAAAATCCGTCATATTTATAAATTATCATTCCAATGTTTGTCCAATTATAAAATTTCCAGTTTTGTTTGATATTTCCCGTCTAAATATGAGCTTTCCCTTCCAACTACATCTATTTGTTCAAGATGGAATGAAAGTCTGGACGAATTTATGAAATGTTTTAATTAAAATTTCATTCTACTACAACAAATATCTTCTAATTTAAATTGGATTAACCTATTTATGACTGAAAATCCTTACGTAGAATGACAGTCCAATTAAAATGTTTTATGAACTCATCCAGACCTTCATTCCATCTCTAGCGTGCAGTTCAAATAAGAAGGGATACCCCATTCTTGGAAGGAAAGTTCTAAAGTAAGACGGGAAATTTTAAAATTGGAATGACATTTTTTAAGATGGAATGAAAATTTAAAATTTAGAATATAATTTTACAATAGAATGAATATTTAATTCTGTCAAATTTTTCTGTTGTGATGCCCTCCGGTGTGACAAAATGGCCCAAGTATTCCAGCTCTTGCCGGACAAATTCGCACTTGTCGCCGTTGGCCTTGTACTTGGCACAACGGAGTATCTCCAACACTCATCGAAGATGTCCAAGATGATCCTCCAATGTCCGACTATAGACTAGAATATCGTCTAAGTAGACCAGCACGAACCGGTCCAACATTGCACGAAACTCATTGGTCATTGTCGCTTGAAAGGTCGTTGGGGCATTGGTGAGGCCAAAAGGCATGACCACCCACTCAAAATGTCCGTACAACGTCTTGAACGTGGATTTGTAGCGATCATTCGGCCGGATTGAGATTTGATGATATCCCGATTTCAAATCCAACTTAGATGATATCCCGATTTCAAATCCAACTTAGAAAAATACTTTGCGCCGCCCAATCGCTCAAGAAGATCGTCGATGCGAGGAAGAGGCCCCGCATTTTTGACGGTTTGTGCGTTGAGCTTGCGGTAGTCGATACACAATCGTAGATCCTTGTTGTTCTTCCGGACGAAGAGAATTTGTGCTCCATATGGGAAGCTACTTGGGCGGATCCAGCCCTTGGCTAACAAGTGGTCGAGTTCTGTGCGGAGGACCTCAAGCTCCTCCTCGCTCATCTGATAGATGCAACCTTTCAGTGGCACGGCTCCGACCTCAAGAATGATCTCGTGAGAGATCGGCCGATCCGGCACCACATCGGTAGGTGACTCGAAGATGTCGACGAACTCGTCCAGCAACCGCACCACCCGGGGGTCCGAAGACAAGCCCGTGGGTGAAGCGTCGGCTACCGCGACGGTCTGTAGGAAACATAGGCCGATCTCCTCGGGCTGCTCGTAAGCGCAAGTCACCCGGAATGATTTGGCCGTCACCACTTGGCACCGAATCGAATGGTGCGGTAGAGGAATAGTACACGCTAGTTCGACGCTGAAGGCATCGCGAACGCTAAGAGTCCGCCGGTGGAAGTTGACCGTGTGATCCGCACTTGCAAGCCAAGGCATTCCCAGAATGATGTTGAAGTCCGTGTCAAGAATATCGAACGTCACCGGTTCGCATGCATGAGGTGCGAAATAAACCGGTACGGCCTCGATGTATCGGTCGAGAAGTTGCTGCGTTTTCCCATCCGCCAACTTGATCGCCATCGGGTTTGCCTTAATCCGAACTTGTGTGCCAAGGCCAGCCCTTTGCATAAAGGATTGGCTTATGAAATTGCGAGACGCGCCGCTATCTAGCAAAGCGTTGCAGGACGCTTGCCCAACCTGGATGCGGACATACATGAGCGGTGTGTTGTTGTCATCGTACCGCTGCGTGTGAAACTCGCGGACCACCTTGGTAACATACGCAAGGATGTCGCCCACCGCGACTTCGTCATCCGTCAGCGAAGTTGGTGGTGCATAGAAGGATAAGTATGTGTGGATATGAGCGCATAGTGTTGCGCATTGCGGTCCCGGCAAGCCACCCGTGGTCGGGAGAGGAAGCCATGCAAAGTCCTCGGACGTGAGCGGGTCCAATACCTCTATGTTGAACTCTCGCACCGATTCCCGTGAAGAACCACTTGAAGACGATATGTCGCCGTTGTCGGACAGAGAAGAAACTGCATACACGTCTTGTCCTTGAGCTTGAGTATCCAGCATAGGAACGAGCCGGGCAGCATAGTCCTCAAACGAATAAGCAAGAGGAGGACTATCGACTTCCGCATGCGCCTCGGAATGAAGGCCGGTTACTTACGAAGAAATCGGTTTCGGAGGCGTCGAGAGTGTTGTCGAGTCACGCTCGGCGGTGCTCAGTTTCCCTGTTTACCCTTGCCTTTCAATGGGCAGGCCAGTGTCTCATGGAGATTGTTGTTGCACCAGAGGCAATAGTGTAATCTCGTGCGCGTGTTGAATGCTTGCTCGAAGATGCCATATTGGGACCAAGGGGCTGGAGCTGTTGCGCCGGGCCCGGGGCTAGATGCGGTGTGTGTCTTCGTCTTGCCGCGTCGTCGGCCTCTGCAGGGGCGGCCACCTTCCCGGGCGGCTGCGAGTCTGTCCCCTTCACTAGCAGACACAACCTCGCTGGTTTGGTCAAACGGCGTTGCCGCCACGACCACGGCCACTCTTGGTCGATGCTGATCTCTGCTCGGGCCTGCTACAGACGAACGCAGGTTCTTAGCCTCCTTGTTCGTAATGATGATCTGCGCGGCCTTGTCAAAAAGTTTCGTCGTCGTCGTCAAGGTGTCCTCGACGTGAGTCAGGGCATTACTTAATGTCGGGCAGGACCTTGAAATGAAATAGTGGCAGATGGCTTTGAAGCCCATCTGGATGTCTGGGACTGACGGCAAGCGTTGGTACTTGGCGATCCAGTTGGTACTCGACGCTCCAGTCGGTACTCGGCAGTGTGCCTTGTTCGAAGACCATGAGCTTGTCCATAGCCTTGATCTCCGGCGGCTCGACTTGGAACCACTTGTGCCACACCGCCTTCAGATCATCCCAGTTGATCTTGGTGTGCAAGTCGGCAGCTACCGCTCCGTACTTGGACAAGAAATTGTCCAACCAAGCCTGGCACGCGCCCCCTGAGCGAGAGTACAAGTATGCGTGGTGCTTGTGTTCTTTGACGTTGTGTAGCTGCAGCGTGAGCTCGAACTTGCGGAACCATGGAATCGGATCTGTCTTCATTGAGTCGCAGAAGATCTCCTGCCCGTCAAACTTTGGAGCTGTCTCGCGCGGTTCCGAACTTGAGGTGTTGGCGGTAGCACAGATCCGTTGTTCCAACTGTTGCGTCGCGGCCTGCTGTAATTGCGCGCCATCCTTGAGGGAGCCGACGTCCATCTCCAATGCTTCGAGGCGATCGGAGGTGTTGGAAGAGCTGGCATCGGGGGCGGCGACTGGTCGCTGCTCCAGCTGCCGGAGGCGGTCTTGGACTTGAGCCAGCGAGTCATCGAGGTTGTGGATGTCCTCCTGCTGTGTAATGCATGTAGCCAGAAGGTCTGTGAGTTCGAAAGAGGAGGAGAGTGATCTTGTTTTCACAATCCTCCATCTTTCCATTCTCGGCCTCGGTCCGCCATTCCGCTGCCATTGTGAGCAAGGTCCGCTCTCCGTTAAATATCTTCTCACGACGTTGAAGTCTTTCTTCATCGGCAGCCTTTGTTGCTGCTTCATCATGCTCGCGTTGTTGTTCAATTGCCACTAGACGTGGTTGTTCGGCGTCCTCTGCCTTCTTCTTCGCTGCTGCTGCTGCGTCATCCGCCCGTTTCTTTGTTTCGGTACTCCAAGCCAGCATCCGGGCCTGACAGGCCTCGTCTGCTTCTCCGGACCTCTGGTCCATGACGGCTGTATGTGATGGCAACAACATAGACGAGGCCGGGGGCCTGCTGACGTGGTATTTCCTGCTCTGTCGGCTGACGTGGCCGGCTGACGTGGCCTGCTGACGTGGTCTGCTGGGGTGTCTTGCTGAGGTAGTCTGCTGATGTGGCCTGCTGACGTGACAACTCACCAATGCCGTCGTAGGGGGTACCCGGAGATGGATAGAGAAGGTAAGGCCAGAGGGGGCAACAACATAGGTGGGGAGGGTAGGTGGGGAGAATCCCCCATTTAAAGATTGGTTGATAGATAAGTTGAGATATCACAAGTCAAAGTAGACGAAGTCATATAGACGAAGTCACACAAAAGACAATGGATATCCAATAGTACATTGCACACAGTACAATCGTACGTGAATGATTATTACACCGCCGGTGGGTATGGCACCCCGACCGGTTTCGACAGCCGCCACGCTGTCCTTCTTATTACACCGCCGGTGGGTATGGCACCCCGACCGGTTTCGACAGCCGCCACGCTGTCCTCCTCAGGGGGATAACCACCTACTTATCCCTCGTCAAAACCCAGCATGCCACTTCCCCACCTCCGCAGTCAACCCGCCACCATCTCCGAAAACGGACGCGGATAAAACGTCGTAGGACCCGAAAAGACCAAGAGCGGTACAATCATTACTAATATAGGTTCCTGTAGCCTACCTGTTACAGAGTCCTACGACCCTGGTTCAAACCCTGACTCACACAAAAACCAACCAAACACATCAAACAAAGCCTGAAACCTAAAGGGACGTAGTGTACCTGCCACCTGTTCCACAGTCCGGTACTTCCTAGCCTGCATCGGTACTGGTCCAAAAACGGTAATCTACCCTACCTGCCGTCCGGTGGGGCTTACCGACCTAACAGGGCATCTGCATATGACTCGTACAAACCCTGACTCACGCAAAACCGGTGATCTACCCTACCTGCCGCCTGGTGGGGCTTACCGACCTAAGGTCGCGTGTTCCAGCCCATGGCTCTTCATGCCAGGCTGTTACGAGACCCAACAGGGCATCTGCATATGACTCACACAGACCCTGACTTACGCAAAACCAAGCAAGCATATCAGTAGCCCTGTCCTCACATCCGACCGCAGCCCTGTCTTCTCTTTCCAAAACACAGCCATGGATTTGACATTCAGTTGCCGCACTACATCTCCTAGTCCAACCTAGTCACTCAAACTGCGGAAAACAAAACAAACACAACAATCCTACTTTCTGCTTTTCAGACCGGAACTGACCCACTGTGTCCGTACTAGCCTAGACTCCGTATCATCTCAAAATCGCACAAACAGCACAAAACCTACGATCCTTAAATCAAATCAACAACAATCTTCAGAAAACATGGAAAGTTGTATCCATGTGGATCTGAAAAAGGAAAGAAAGAGAGAAATGGAAAAGGAAAACAGGAAAAACAGGAACAGAACCCTCACAACAGAGAGAACTTCAGAAGCTCACGCTGAGTATCTCCATACAACCAATCATACGTCCATGTCCAGATCTCATCTCGTCCTTGCGCGAAACGCTTCAGCACCCGTTTCAAGAAGTCTCCCGGAAAATCTTTGATACGTAGCTCACGTTGCAGACTTAGGACCCTCATGGGGATGGCTGCTCGCTCGTTCGTATTTCGGTCGATCCGGTGTAGACAGCTGCCAACAACTGCACTCTTTTGTTCCTTGCTACCCCACGATGAGTAGTCCTGTCCATTCTTGTACTCCAAACATTCATTCTCCCATAGCGACTGTTCATTCTTGGACGACTGGACACATCGAAGGTAAGGATACACCAAATCCACGCTCATCTTTGTCCCCAAGAAATCCCACGTGTTCACACCATCATCAGTCCTCTTTAGCGACAGGTTTTCCAGATAGCAGCTTTAGAAGCGTTCTTGAATCTGCTCAACTGGCACATGCTTCCTGCCCCCACACAGAATTACAACGCTAACACCGTCCATCAGTCGAACTCCAAACACATTGTGTTTCAGACTGCCCAAACTTCGGAGAAATCGGAACTCCGCGAAGGCGCACATCAGACAAGCCAGCGGTGGGCTTGTACTCTTCCCCATCGGGATCCCTACTACCTGCCGCAGTAGGACCCCCGTGGCTCTTGTATACGTGTGTAAGAGTTCCCATCTAACGAACTTCCTGATATGCTCCAAGTCCACAGTTCTCCGGTGGTCATCACCCACCGTCCGTCCAAATGTACATCCTCTCCCTCTTGTATTCACGCGTACCTTGAATCTCCTCTTTCCCATGTGATACTCAATTGCCCAGTCTACCGCTGCGATGATCTCATCGTGTGGTAATCTACTGAACATGTCCTTTATGTCGTATGACATAGACACGAGTTCAGACCGCGCGTTGATTTTTCTTCGAATCTGCTTATTGAACTGCTCCAGTCTCGGTGCCAAGGCAGACACAGATTTGAGATTGAAGTGCCAGTCAGCTGGCAATGTCGCCAGCAGTAAATTCAGCGTCCGGGCCGCAGCTCTGCACGTTCGAACAGTAGGTTCTGAGAACGTAGGACAAATCGGCCTATACCTCAATAGGTCTTTGTGCTTAGGTATCACATACGCCTCACCAAACTTTCCTTTTGAGTCCCACCTCACGAACTGCTCAAGATCTAGTGATTTTGCTTCCGCTCTCATCTCCTTATGGATACATTCTTCAATCTTAGTAACGATAGTGTAGCCAGGCGATAGTACAAACGTACTCATCATCGCTTCGAAATACAACTTTGGGCATAGAACCAGAGTCGCCCCAAGGTTCCTGTCCAAGGGGGTCAATACCAACCCCTCCAAGGTTAACTTCAAACTCCTGACTTCAGCTGGATCAAGAAATTTCCTTCCCGCCGAACAAGTAGTAATCATACACCTCGCTGCTTCAGCTCCTCTTACCACTATTTCATCGCCTCTGAAATTCGGCCACGATCGAATACCCACCGTTATCTCCTGCGCCAACTGTTTTGCGCGTTCAGGCTGGGATCGCTTAGGGATGTTGTTAGCGTTACCAATAAGGGGATGCACACCCTCCAATTCCTGCAATCGGAATTGCACGTGGTCGCTTACCCTAGGGTAAGGCAGACCTGCACAGGTACAGGTCGACACGTCTGCTCTGGCAAATGCCCGCTGATTGTGTAGCATGTCGGCCACGGATGGGTTCTTAACCCATACGATCCGAACAATACCACGTGCAACGTCTTTCAAACAGTTCGGGATCTCCATCCCTTCAATCGCATCATTCACTACCTTTCTGACATCCACTAGCCTAATTCGATCGTCAAATTTCAACCTCACCACCATCTTTGCATTGATACTCCACCCATACACTTCTTTAATTGTCCTTGCCACGATCCTCCTTAAGTAGGCCGTAGTCGAGGCTTTCTGGAAGTCAGCGGCTGCCTTCATTAATCTAGTCAGTGCTTCCAAGTTACAGTTTTTGAGGGCTTCCATACGCTGCGGGTTCCGAAAGAGGGACCGTAGAAATTTCTTATCGGGTCCGGCTTTTGGAACCCATCTCCGCAGTTGTTCGATACTGAGTACCCCTCCCTCCTCCATCAACTTTTTACATTCAAATAACTTTTTCCTTTGGCCCTTCACTTTTACGACCGAATTCCCGAAAGCTGATTTGATTGGTTTCCAACCGCCGCACCAGCAATTACCGCGATGGGTCCGTACAGTAAACTTCAGACAATCCTTCTCTTCCTGCGTCTTAAACACGTCGCGACGGGTAGCACTTCCGTTGACTGTGTGGCGCATCGCAAGGAGTGTGCTTGCTTGTTGCGCTCACGCTTACCTCTTCGTTGCTTGGTTTTTTAGCTACCTTTACCTCTCATACCCCTGGTGTTCAAAACTGGGTTCCATCGTTGAATATACAATTGCTCAAGTGTTGGCAATTCTTCGGTTCGACACATATCCACTGGTAATAGTAGGTATGATTCAGTTCCAAAGACTTGCCACCATGTATACAAGTGTGTCTGTTTCCGTCCCCTTCTGCATACGGACATATGCTCTTTCCATCTCGTAGTCCCATCCCGACTAGTCTGTCCCACGTATTGCGCACGGTAGATAGGCGAAGCAAGGACATAGATTCCTCCGATGGTGTCGTTAAAAGCTACGACCCCAAATCGTTGGTAAAGACTAACCCACAAATTTACACACTTCCTCAACCACAGGATCTGGTCATGCAACGCTAAGAGAACGACGACAAAGCGATATACGACTTCTATTACTGCATCGTATTGTCCAATTCTACGTACTGATAGCAGGGCTTTGCATGTTCTCCACAGTTGATGTACACTTCACGTCTCCTCGTCCTTCTCACTGTCAATCCCTTCATCGGTTTCCTCCACCTTGATCTGTTGTTGAATGCCTTCGATCGGTTCTCGCTCCTCCTTGTCCGGTCCGTAGGCGACTTGAGTACGCCTTTCCGCGATCGCCAGTATGGTCTCCATCTTCTTCCCCTCGTAGGGGACATCTTCAGCTCGGCAAACTTGTTTGAGCTCGTCGACATTCAGATAGCCCAATTCCCGTAGATTATCCGTCACATATCGAAGTTTGCCTATTGAGCCTGATTCGGCCGGGATCTTCTTCTTCTTCTTCAAAATACTTGGAATAGGTGACTTCTTGGGGGTCTTCTTCATCGCTTGGCGACGACAACTCAGTTGCAGCCGTTTCGGGTTAAGCAAACCTCGTTTCGCAGTGCGTTTCGTCGAGGTCTCCATCGGAGGACTATCCCCAACTACTTTTTCGGCGCTTCGCTTCCTCTTCTCCGCAATATTCAATCTTCCCGTCTGCTCACTTAGAGTCTCCACATCGCTGTTTCCGGATTCGTAGGACTCCACATCAGATGTATAGCTAGGTAACTTATCTTTACCTTTACTACCTCTCTGAACCTGTCCGAGCAGCCGATGTTGTAGTTCCTCGCACATCCCACCCACGTGCATCCTAATCTCCATACGTAAAACTTTCCGCATCGCTTCTCTCAATTCCTCCTTTTTGCGTTTCTTAACCTCCTTCTTCTTGGCACGTCGTTCCTTCTCCAAACGTTCTTCCTCCTCTTTACGTGCTTGCTCCTTTTTCTCTTGCTTCAACTTCTCTTTCTCCGATTTTGCCTTCTCAACCTCCGCCTTGCACGCCTCCTCAGCGTCAATAAAGCTCTTCATGTTGGCTATCGAGTTAACCAACTCTTCAACTTGCTTCCTCAAACCCGGCTCCTCGGATACCGCTCGCCGCTCGATGCTCCTTGTGTGGTATCCTGGTGATGAGGATCGTCCTCGTGGACCGGCCTGCCAAGCGCTACTTTCCCCGATTAGCCTTGGGCACTGATTCTTGTAGTGGCCAGGTTCGCCGCATTCATAGCATACTGGTACATAACGCCGTGGTGCTTCGCGTGGCACTGAAGTTCGATCTTGTTGCTGGTAATGCCTTCCGCCTTCATTGTAGTCTCGACGCCCCTCTCATGCTCGATCACGTCCCATGTCACTACGGTCTCTGCTTCCTTTGTATTGCCGATCCCGATCAGGGTTACGCCCGTGCTCCCTATAACCGCGTTCGACATCTTGTCACGTTGGTAGCTTACACCACCCGCTAACGAATCCTGAATAGTGATGGTAACGTAATCCTCGTAACGAATATCACTGATAAATCGTGTAACCTCCTGTGGCTTGACTTACAATCACTTCGTATCATGTGTCACACTCGTAACATTGATAACATCGTAACACTTCATGTTCACTCTCGCTCAGCAACTTCTAAGCTGGTTCACATGGGCCTTCAAAGGTTGATAGATAAGTTGAGATATCACAAGTCAAAGTAGACGAAGTCATATAGACGAAGTCACACAAAAGACAATGGATATCCAATAGTACATTGCNTGATAGATAAGTTGAGATATCACAAGTCAAAGTAGACGAAGTCATATAGACGAAGTCACACAAAAGACAATGGATATCCAATAGTACATTGCACAGAGTACAATCGTACGTGAATGATTATTACACCGCCGGTGGGTATGGCACCCCGACCGGTTTCGACAGCCGCCACGCTGTCCTCCCATTTAAAGAGCCACTAATATAAAAAAAAAAAAAAAAGTTTGAACTTTGCAAAAAAAATTTGAAATAATAAAATCCCGAGTTTTGCAAGTTCAGTAGGTCTCCCAACCTCCCTTGAAGTGCGAAATGATCAATGAGAGAAAAAAAAATCGACTTCAAGCCGCAAATGATTTATAGAACTGACTGACAGAATCCTAGAACTGCGAAAAAAAAATTCCGAAAAGAAATAAAATATTCGGACTTAGGGGCTGATCCGACTACTACGTTTGAAGGGGAGAACCAAAAGGAACCGCGTTGCTCGGCCCCGTGCCGGTCGGACCGAAAAA